TTTTTTGTGAAAATAGTTCATAAACAGAGTTGACCCTTTAAGTAACAGAATTGTAAAGTAACAGAATTGACAGAATTGTCCATTGGACTGTCAATTCTGTTACCGCATTGTTACTCTACCTTGGTAACAGAGTTTGACAGTAACAGAATTGACAATGTTTATTTTTTTGCCAAAAACTCCACTTGCTAGCATAAATGCTAAGAGCACATGGCACTAATGAAATCATGATTAAAAGACTTTTAAATAACACAAAGTGTGATCAATGAAAAAATCTGTTTTCCTTTTGATATTGTGGTAACAGATTTGACACTTTATAAAATAACTCTTGGTGTAAGAACTTTTTAGATTAAAATATTTTCTTAGAGAGAGTACATTGACTTTTCAGTGCTTCAGATCTTAACAGTGAGGGAAAGTGACATAATTTCCTGCATCTTACAGTTGTGGGAGATAATTCCACTCATTTAAAGGCAAAGTATGGTACGGTAACAGAGTTGACGCAAGATTTACGGACACACTTTTTTATGAGAAAAAAGTTATTTTTTTTAAATAATGTTGCAGAATTAGGTAAATGACTCGTTAGGGCTTTTATAAATAAAATGAATGAAATATTACCAAAAGAAAAGTACAATAAAATATTTTGATTACACAATGGTACATGATGGAAAAAAATGCACTGACTAATTCGGACAACAAGAAATCATTGTCAGCTATTTAAGACACTTTTTGCAAAAAATATTATATTTTTATGGACTGTAACATCTTGTAATTCATAACAATGAGTAACACAGTATTAAAAATAATAAAAAATATAACCATTTGAAAAAAGCAGAAAAAAAAAAATGACTTTGGACACCAAATGTACCTGCAATTATAGACTCACTCACATGTCTGTGCAAGCTTTGGAGGTATTGATGGAAGCGATTTACTGGATTTATGCTTTGATAATCGTACTGAATATGATCCAGATGTAGTTTTTGATAAAAATGTGATTTTCTTCTTACTTTTGCTCAAAATTATGCATTATGAGACCTACCTATATTCAAGTGTTGATAAAAAAAGAATGCTTTAAGCTAGAATAAAACTGATTTTTTTTGTTTAAAAGTAGAGGCTTTGATCTTTATTATGGTGTATTGCATATTCAAATATTCATAAAGCAAAATATACTGGAGGCCATCAAATTTGAGTGAAAATCATCAAAATCGCTGGCGGTGGCTGGCAACTTTTAAAAAAAATGCTGGCGGGGAAAGAGTTAACAAGTCAATAGGGTTTTTTTTTACTTTTAAATATTATAATGAAAGTCAATGGGATCCATTGTTGCTTTTGGACCCCACTGACTTTCTTTATAAGGATTAAAAGTAAAAAAATAAAAATAAAAATAAAAAACTCCATTGACTTGTTAAAGTTTCAATGAAATAGAAGAAACTGTAAATCTGTTTGCACTCAACATGGGCAAGTGAAATTCCTAATCCATTTGTCCTGTTGTCGGAAGTCGCACAAATGTGCAGAGTCAGGGTCTAAAATTAACACTCACTAAGTAAAACTGGAGTTGGCAAGCATATGAAAAGGTTCCTCACATGTTGGCCAGTAACTTTTACGTTTATTAAGTGTAATAATGCCTGAGAATGTGATATGTGTTAGCGCAATTACCAAATCCAAGACTGCTTTGCAATTATAAATACTGTATGTAATCTGATGAGCTTTGTGTTTCAGAGTGAAGCGCTGTGAGCTTTTCACGTGAGCTACTCATGATAACAGTGTTTTCAGTATCTGTAAATACCTTTCCCTTGTTGAAGTAGTGGATGACCTTACGACAGAGACCCTCTTTGCGATGCCATTCGCTCTGCGCAGGATAGTGCAGGAACTCCCGGAGGGGCCTTTCCTCCCAGTGGAGCAGCTCCCAGTACAGCAGGAGGGTAAACGCCGCCTCTGTGAGACACAACGGTTGATAAAGTTGAAATACTCTTTGAGTAAGGTACTTCCTTTTAGAGCTGGTAGAGCATAGTGCTAGCAACACAAAGGTCATGGGTTCGAATGCCAGGAAACATACAGTATGTAGTGATAAAATGTGTACTTTATAGGCCTTATGTAGCTCCGCCCCTTTTCAGCACTGCGCTTTTTCTTCTGTCTTCCAATTTGTATTTCCGCAGTGTGAAGGTAAAGTTGTACGAATTAATGAATGAACTGCTCGTTTTAAAGTCTTCCCAGTCTACTGACATTTCTTATGACATCCGCTTCGAATATGCACATGGCAACTTTCTCTACAATAAGTCAATCCATTTCACAAGCGAATTACTTTTGACAGCAGTGCCATAGAAATATGCAGAGCTACTGCGAAAAAGGAAGTTCAAAGACAAAATTCTAAAAACGACTGCACACTTGTTTCTTTGACGCATAAGGTCTATATGCACTATAAGGGGCTGTTCACACAAAATTTGTTTATATTCCATTGCAGTGCTTTTCCATTGGTTTTCTATGTAAATATGTGCTATAAGGATCTTTGAGTGTTGCGTTTTTGTCTTTTGCAGCATCTCACTTATGAATTGGCGCTTTAAAAATGTGACACTCAAGTTACAAGAATTTTAAAGGGATAGTTCACCCAAAATGAAAATTACCCCCTGATTTATTCACCCTCAAGCCATCCTAGGTGTAAATGACTTTCGTCTTCCAGACGAATACAATCGGCGATATATTAAAAAATGTGCTGGCTCTTCCAAGATTTACAATGACAGTGAATGGCTGTTGAGATTTTGAAGTCCAATAAAGTGCATCCATCTATCATAAAAAGTGCTCCACACTGTCACGAATCCTGTCCATGAACTTCCGTCTGCTAGCCACCAGAGTTCGCCCTCCCATTATATGGACTCTCACACCACACAGACTGTTACACATCACCCTGGACTACATTTCCCATGCTCCATTGCACTAATCACAAGCTCACCTGAAACCAAACACACACAGACGCTACCAATAACACACACTATAAAAATCAGTCTCACACCACCATTCAACGCAGAGTATTGTATAGCGTTTATCACTCTACAGAGCCATTTCTAGTTCTTAGTTCCAAGTCATAGTCTTGCCCTGCCTGCTTTCCCGTGTTCAGATTCTTGCCTGTGTATTTTGTATTATCCTTTCGTCTTGCCATTCGGACTATGTTTGCACCTTGCCTGGACTATTGCTCATGTTGTCGGATTACCCCTCTTGTCAAGCCCTCTGGATATTGTTAGCCACTGATCGACCACGCCCGTTTTGGATTACTCTCCTGTTTTGCCCTCAATATACCTGTTTGTCATTGTCTGACCCATGCCTGTTATGACCACGTCTCTTAATAAAGCCTTGCATATGGATCCGCATGCCTCTCGTCTCGTCGCCTCCATCACACACACGGCTCCGGGGGGTTAATAAACGCCTTCTGAAGCGAATCGATGCGTTTGTGTAAAAAAAAATAAAAAATCTTATTTTAAACTTTATAAACTGTAATATCTAGCTTCCGCTAACTGTCATACGTGCGTTCACAAGAGTGGCGTTCCAGCAGATGACGTAGGACGAATGCATAGCGTAAGCTCCGGTAAGAGGTGACGAACGCGGAAGCGCAGAAGAGTGAGCAAAACAAAACACTGGTCATGTCTTAGAAGTACAAAATACGGATTTGTAAAGAAAAATGTCAGAGGATTTCAATATAAGCCAAGAAGAGACTGGCTTTCCTTTTCTGTAAACAAAATTTGGTTCTTGCGAGTACGACAGTTAGCGAAAGCTAGAGATTAAGGTTTATGAAGTTTTAAATATGGATATTTTTCTTACACAAATGCATCGCTTCCCTTCAGAAGGCCTTTATTAACCCCTGGAGCCGTGTGGAGTAATTTTTTATGATGGATTGATGCACTTTATAGGACTTCAAAATCTCAACAGCCATTCACTGCCATTATAAAGCTTGGAAGAACCAGGACATTTTTTAATATAACTCTGATTGTATTCGTCTGCAAGAAGAAAGTCATATACCCCTAGGATGGCTTGAGGGTGAGTAAATCAGGGGGTAATTTTCATTTTTGGGAGTGAACTATCCCCTTTAACTTAAAAAAAAAAACGCATCTCTCGACCTAACATTTTTTTATTTATTTATTTTTTTTTTTTTCATTACAATGCCCTGCGTCTTGTGCTTTTTAAATGCAAAAACACATTCTGTGAATAATGCCTCACCTGTGTAGTTTTCGGCCTGCAGGTGCATGTCGCACAGCTTGTGAATGTATCTGATGTACATCTCCTCCTTATTAATCTCCGACTTGTAGAAATTCTACAAAATGAGATCATATGATCATCAGGTTACTTTGTCTAATTGCAAAAATGCCACATTGCATACACTTTAACTTAAAAAAAAAAACGCATCTCTCGACCTAACATTTTTTTATTTTTTTTTTAATTTTTTTTTCATTACAATGCCCTGCGTCTTGTGCTTTTTAAATGCAAAAACACATTCTGTGAATAATGCCTCACCTGTGTAGTTTTCGGCCTGCAGGTGCATGTCGCACAGCTTGTGAATGTATCTGATGTACATCTCCTCCTTATTAATCTCCGACTTGTAGAAATTCTACAAAATGAGATCATATGATCATCAGGTTACTTTGTCTAATTGCAAAAATGCCACATTGCATACAGTATATTAGGCTGACAGTGGATTGAATAAAGGGTAAGACTCACCAGCAGGTTAACAGTGCAACCGATCTTCTTGTTTTCTGTCTCATCACCTTTCATGCAATCTCTGCCGATACAAGAAACAGGAAGTCTCATTAGATACGCCCTCCGATGCCACGCCCACTGACCATATATGGGCCATATGATGCGTTTGCACACAAAAATGAGAAGAACTTCGATTTGAATCTGTCTGGTTTCTACCCAGTTTACGAAGAGTTTTACATACAATTTATTGATTGCTAAATGCTGCGCAACAATAACGAGTTTTGGCTGAACATTTTACATTTCAAAAGCCAAATGGCCACTTCCTGTTTAAGTCAGCAGCCACAAAATAAACAAAAAACAAAACAGAACATAAAATGACAAAAAACTATAATTAAAATGAAAAGCGAAAATATGTAAATAACAGCTAATTAAAAGCTGTTATTTATTTAACTACGGATAATATTAATTATCCGTAGACACTAGAATGAGAGTTTTACCTGTAGTCCAGCAGTCTCTCCATGAGGCGTGTGACAGATGTGACGAAAGAGACACCAGTCTCCCTCCAGGTCTCCTGCTCGATCTTCTCCAGCAGACTAGACATAAACAACACACACATATATAGAATTATTTAAGGGCACTTCATGGGCTGAAGGTAAAACAGGGGCTTGTAATGGAAGATCCGTTTTAGTGGCATCTGATAGGTTGAACAGGGTTAGTTTCCTCTTACCTGGGGTACGGCCCAAACAGTTGAGTTCTAATAATCCCGCAGCACAAGGCAAATCAGAGACACTCAGGTTATAACAAGAGTACTTAAACAGCTGGATGTGTAGCTGTGTGTGTCAGTGGAGAAGGTAGAGGGAGTGTGTGTGTGTGTGTGTGTGTGTGTGTGTGCGCGCACTTACAGCAAACTGAAGAGTTCTCTGTAATTCTCGTCTCCTTTGCCTTCAGACACCAGACTGTCCAGTTTGTCTATCAGTTCTGCCTCGACCTGCACCGTAAACATGAACTGAATTATGTGCTTATAATGAAACAGATAATAATTCTAAGAAATATTTCTTTATTGATATTATTTATGTTTTCAGAAATTAAATTGTTTTTGTCATTCGGTGCCACCCAAATTGCCAAGAATGGATGCTGATAAAAAACCCCATCAAAATTACTTTTAAACAATGTTTTATTACATAAATAAATACATTTAAAAAAATTAACTTTGTAACAGTGTTTTATTACATAAATGTTACTTTTTTTTGTGATAAAAAAAAGATAATAATAATATCATATAATAACAAAATATTTTATTGGTTTTATTGTTGTTATTATTGAATGTAATAATAATAACATATTACATATTTTATTATATTAATTTATTTATATTAATTTTTTTCTTCAAAATGACATTATTTCTCAAGAATAGCCTGAATATACAATAATTATTTCTTAATTCATTTTTTCATTCATTTTTTTTTTTCATTATTATTTTTTCATTATTATTATTATTATTATTATTATCCATTTTTTCCATTATTATTTGCCATTTACTATTATTTACCATTTATCATTTATGGTTACATTTAGAGTGAAAATAAATCATAATCATATTATTTTGTTTCCCTGGAACATAACTCAGGTTAAGAGAAACAGAAAAAATAGCCAAGAAAAGACAGAAAAGCAGAAGCAGGTATAATGGACCTGTTTGAAGTTGCCGTTCTTTCTCTGTTCCCAGTCCATCATATCGTGGAAGATGGGGATCATTATGTTTCGGACTTCATTTTGTGGTACAAGCGTCACACCCAAAAATGGGCCAATCATTCCTGGTATGAAGTGGATCTTATTCTCACCTGCAGCCAAACCAAGCAAATCGTAATTATTCATTATTTTTTTAAATGGTGGCTCTTTATTGTTAAAGCCTGAATGTCTGGGTTTATGTAACAAAGTGAGTGAGCTTTACATTTTTAATAATATTAATAATGAAAAACCCTGTGACATAAAAATGCCCAAACTTGCAGCAACACCATATACAGGTGCATCTCAATAAATGAGAATGTCGTGGAAAAGTTCATTTATTTCAGTAATTCAACTCAAATTGTGAAACTCGTGTATTAAATAAATTCACTGCACACAGACTGAAGTAGTTTTGGGGGAATTTCTGCAGTGCAGTACCTTCCTCTAGCTCTAGAGGTCCGTACTGCTTTTCTAGAGGAAGTGGATGTTTGTGTTTGTGTTTCTGTGCGTGTGCAGAGAAATGCAGGAAAAAATAATGAAACAGAGTCGGAAGACAGAGAGAGAATCAAAACGCTCACCCAAATTCTGCCACATGCTAAACAGCTCATAAGCCATCATGACCCTCATATCACCATACCTGCAAAGACAAGAAAAACACATTAAAAACTCATCTTAACCCATGCAGGAATCTAAGTCGACAAACAAACAGCATTTATTAAGCACACTAGACTCAGAAGAACAGAAGAGCCACACGCTGGGCTGAAGATCACAGACGTAAAAGGAGAAGCAGAGAGATGAATCGACCCTCTCGACAAACTCACAGGGTGATCATCAATCTTGCATGCCGTGCAGAAGTCTTGCGCACATTTCTGCATCTAAGGCTTTTTTGTATTTGAGTATTTGACCAATAACTGAAGGAACAGATATCTATTAATCATGAGATGTAGCTAGCCAGTAAAGAAGGAATACAAAGAGATGTTGCATGTACTCCAGATGGATTTAACATGGATTAGCCCACGCTACAATACTCAAATTATTATTTGTTTCATATTTAAAGAGTATCTGGGTTAAATACAACTTAAGCTCTGCTGACAGCATTTGTGACATGACATTTGTGAAAGTAATTTGGACTTTTGTCCTTTGGTAAGTAACAAAAGGAATGGAAAGCCTGTGGAGGAAAAATATTACAATCTGCATGCATTTAGAAACAATGACAGGTTGATTTCTTCGTAACGTCTTTAGACAATACAGTGTGTGAATGAGCAGGATCAAGTCTTACTTGTCAAAGACCTTCTTCCGCTTGGCTGGTGTCAGAGTCTCCAGCTGTAGACTGGGCTGGTTGATAAACAACACTGCCAGACTGAAGTAGGAATTCCACACCTGACGGAAAAAGCAACACAAACGTTTAGTGATGCTACTGCGAGACTCTATGTGCTGCCACATTTCTTTAATAGAGATCTTGACAACGTTTTGAAGGAGAATTAATATAATTCATGTAGCCAATAGCATTCCCTTGGATATACACAACTGATTGATTATTTGGTGGGCGTGTCTTCAAGAGTTCAAGCCCCTCCTCTTCCAGAAAGGAAGATATATATTATATATTAAATATATATTTTCCATATCAAACTATTCTGAACTATTGTTTGAACACTAATGGTAAAGTCACATTTACCGTTGCTCTGCACATTTTTGTAGACGAAATCCAGTATGCCCGTGAAATTGACCACACCTTAAGGGTGTCAATTGATATTTCAATATTCATGCTGTTATGACATGCTGATTTCAGTTTTAGCATGGCTTCACTAGTCAAACTAATCTACCTGTGATGATTAAGTACCTTAACCAGTTCAGATTGGATTCCGGATTTAAGATGCTCTACTTTGGCTTGAACACACCTATTGATTCTTGGGTGGGCGTGTCCTAGTCCCCTCTTCCAGAAAGGAAGCCACACCCACCAATTATTTTGCACATGAAACTATTCTTTACTATTTTCTCTGAACATTTTTGTTGACGAAATCCTGTAATTTCAATAGGAATCCACAGAAAAGGGACCTCTGCGAAAGATTTCTCAATGCAGATTTCGCAAAGGGTTCAGTTGGTCATGTGACATTGCTACGCTGACTAACAGAAATCTGGTTGTTTCAAATTGACTTCTGTGTGAGCTGTGCTTCATACATCTACACTATTGACTATAGACAATGGACCTTCTTTTGCCGGTGAAATTTAACCAAAATTTCAGTAATGTGACCATATCTTAAGGATGTCAATTGATATTAGTTACGATATGCTAAATAAGTTTTACATGGCTTCACTGGCCAAAGCGATCTACCAGTGTCTATTAACCATCCTAACCAGTTCAGATTGGATTCCGGATTAAAGTTGCTCCACAATGGTCTACTCTTTTTTTTTTTTTTTTTAGGGGATATCCAGTGAAAACCCACACTGGTAGACAGGGCCATGTTTTTCTCTCAAAGATAACCTTCATTAATAATTCAGTAGATTTGAACTTTTCAGAGCCAGTCTCGCAGGTTAGTGGTACCATCTGTCTTGATCAGGGAGGAGAGCTTCATTAGAGTGGATTAGAGAGAGCCAAGAGTGTCCAACAGCAGGACACCAGGAAGTCCCACATGAAGCACGTTTGTGTACATGTGGAATGTGATATTCAGAAAATGGGACGTGTGTGGGTTTGGAAATTATGTTTATGTTTAATGTGTGTTTCAGTGCCAGGGAGTCTGTGGTTCATCACAATCACACACCTTAAAATCAAAGTCAGCATCTGTAAAGCTTTTATGAAGAGCAGGCGACAGATACTGAGTTGTGCTCACAATGATACTGCAAGAAAGAAAAGGTATAATTAGAAAAACATAGAGTATAGTGTACAGTATAAATATGTGATGATCTTTTTTTTTTTTTTCAGGATTTTTTGATGAACGATCACATTTCATGCATCCATGCTGGAGAAAAGTATTACTTTCTTTAAAAATAATAAAGTCTTTTTGACCACAAACTTTTGACAAGTAGTGTATATTTTTGCTTGAAAAGTGCACTTATGCTCTGTAAAAATAATATCTAATGCAATGACATTCATATTGAAAGTGACTTTACTGTCATTGTCAAGTAACTTTACAAGTACTAAAAATATGATAATTCCAGAGAAATACATTGTATTATACCATATATGTTATTCAAAAATGTTTATTCAAACCAAAACAATATGTTTTGAGCCAAAAAAATTAAAATCAATAAGGAAGGAAACAGGAATGAGGTAGAAAAGGGAAAAAATTGATTGATTCTCACTTGCTGGTCAGCAGTCGCATGACGTTCCAGTCACGTGGGAATATACTGAGCTTCATCAGGTTTCTGAATACACAGAAAATCTTCAGCAAGAACTCCTGCAAGAGATAGGATTGTATAAGCTGGGTTAGAAGAAAGCATTTTCACATTTAACATTTAAAAACTTCACCTTCAAGCAATAATATAAATGATTTAGATGCTTGATTTCTGAAATTTATGAGACGGTTCACCTTCAGCTCCTCTTTGCTTTGGAAGTTGTCCAGTAGGTGTTGAAAATGAATGTCCGACATCTGACGCAGGAGGGACAACAAGCAGGACACATACTCCCCCTGACAATCAGAAAGTGGGCAAGTCCTTGTGAGCCAATCAATCTGTTCATTTGGCAATCAAACAGCCAATCAAATGCATCCAAAGGGAGCGGGGAAGCAGAATGAAGGCGAGACGTGAAGACACTGTGGGATGAATTCACTAAACAGTTGTGGCACTTAGTCTCAGCCTCAGACAGCATGCCACAGACCGCCTACAGTCTGTTCACTAAATTTCTGATGCATATTACGCACAAAAATGAAAAGGCTGGCTGAAATCACCAGTTCTAATCTGACTAGCTGGTTTTACACAACTTTTTTAATCAGTTGATATAATTCACTTGTCGGTCCAAGTGGGCAGTTCTTGGCCAGTATAAACTCCAATGTGGACTAGACTTTATGTTGTTAGTCAAAGGTCTGGCAATGTGAGACTAGAGCGTGGTATTTCAGCACAAAACTCTATGTCTGATTCACCAACCACCCACAATCCAATTAAAGCAGGCACAATATGCGTATTTATATTAGGTCATTGTCATTCTTCTTTGGGCAACCATTCCCGTAAATGCCATGTAAATGACGCTCTTTGTAGAATGTGACAGACTCACAAATGTCAATGCTTTTGTTTTTTACCTGACACAATTAACATTAGTATCAGCCACAGAATATTAAAAATATTTCAGCAGTAGTTCATCAAACAATGATCAAATGATTTTAACTAGGCATGGATCCACATGGAGGATTAATTCATGCACTTTTTCTGCATTTTAAAGACCCAGGTGCTAAAACAACTCAGACAATGTTTGCAAATTTGTAATGCTATCAAAGGGTGCAGTTTATTCTAAGTGAATTCTCCCGTCTGATTAGACCATGCTTTCTTTTAACTACATATACACAGAGACATGATATTAGTTCTGCTGGGTTTAAGTTTATAAGCTATGTATGATGAATACATCAAAAATTAAACATTAAGCAAGCAAAAGTATATCAAAGGATGCAAACCCATACATCAGAATACAGATCAGAGCATGTTTGTGTTGTAGTAGTTTACTGTTTATCTTAGCCTTCTGAGCAGGTGTTACAACAGTCTAAATGTAAGAGACGTAAGACAAACATGCATGGGTGAGTCTCACGAAACCTGTCAGGAAAGATCAGGGTCATATTTCATGCAACAATGAAAAGAATTAAGACATTTTGCATTTATATTTTGCGTAAAGAAAATTACGCCAAAGAAAGTAATGGTCCTAAACAGAAGCTTCATTTTCTTTTGTCCTTAAAATGTGCATTTTGTGTGCAGTTTTCGTGAAATTCACCCGCATGAAGACATACTGTATTATGTGCGAGTCAGTGAGTGAGTGAGTGAGTGTGAGAGACGTAATAAACACAGACATGAACGAGAGAGCGAGATAGAGAGCGAGAGAGAGAAAGCAACAGTGATTACTTTTCTATTTAAGTTACAGTAATTGTCAGATATCTAAATATAAATACACCCGTTTTGTCAGTTTAACACGTTAATTTGGTATGATTAATGCTGGAGCTTGAGGCAGATCTATTTAGACAATTTTAATGTTATCATTAAATATGAATTTCTTTATGAAGAAAATTAATGTGATTTTACTTTCAGAACCTGACTGTTGTACTCTGTAGTCAGAAAAAGAAGAGTTCCAGAAAGATGCTGGGAAAGAAACAGAAGATGAAGAAAAGATCTCAGTAGGGATGCAGCCAAGCAGGTGGAGGAGAAGAGGGATAGAGGGAAGGAAAGAAGTAGAATATCAGATTTGTTAGTTACTAACAGTGATCTCAGCCGTGCACTGTGGACAGCGCTGCCCTCTTACCGCCTCCTGAGACTGAGATTTACTCATGATGGCCAACAGCGTCTGTAACAACACATCCAACAAACTCTCCACCATCATCTCTACCTCCTCCTGCACAGAGCTCTCCTGCAGACAGGAAAAGAGAAACATTGTCTCCTTAACCAAAGTCATAAGTGGGATGTTCAAAATTTTGATGACATGCACATTGACAAAAGTGTACCAGTGAGCTGCTTTTAATAATGGAGAAAATGCTGCTCAGGATTCCCGAGCAGATCAGAAGCTCCTTCTGTTGCCGCAGATGCAGATGAATGTGATGGAGAACAACAGGAAGGAGAATTCTCCTTGATTCTGTGAAAACAGTCAGAGAGAGGTTATTAACTCAATTCACCTCATTAAGATTTCAGACATTTACACTTTCATAAAACATGTGCAAACATTATACCTTTTAGAAGTACAACAGCTTGTCACCGTGGCAGTACCCATAAAAGGGACAACTTTGTACCTTATCTAACTATAAAAGGTGCATATTAGTACCTTAGAGTAGTAATATGTACCCTTAAGGTACTACTAGGGGTAAATAAGGCACAAAGATGTCCCTTTGAGAGTACTGCCCCAATGACAAGCTGTTGTACTTCTAAAAGGTACAATTTTACACATTAGAGAGTGAAACAATTCTTTAAGAAATACCTGGGAAGGAGAAAAGTCTGCTATCCACTGTCCGAGCAATGGACTGCAGCTTAACCACATCCATGGACTGACCGATGTGGACCGTACTAGGCATGCTACCCAGAGTTCCTCTCACAAACTCTGCCACTTCCTGTACTGTGAACATCTGGAGGAGCTCGTCAAAAATCGCTGGGAAAGAGTTGAGTAGGGCAGCCTGAAAATATGGGAAGAGACCAGAGAAAGAAAGGTTAACTTTTGCAATTTGGTCATCGTTTGTGTTCCCCTTCAGATTAAACAAGATATGTTGGCCAAAGATGGGATGGACATCACCCACACAGCAAGAGACGAAGTAACAGTGAGGCTTCGTCAGCACCTCATGGTTACTTGGTAGATTAGAGATTCAGTCAATTCAAATTTTTAAGAAGATGCCAAACAAATGAGAGATCACCTCCTGGAGACCCACTATGCAACAGAGCTTAGCTCAAACGCTAATCAAACAAACCTAAACCAACTAAGCAAGGTCTTCGGGTCACTTGACAATTACAGGCAGGTGGGTTGGAGTAGGTTGGAACTAATCTTTGCAGGACAGTGTGTCTCTGGGAGCAGGGTTGGAGACCTCTCGGTCACAGCCATAGTCAAAAACCTTGGCCTTGGCTATTCCTTAATTCAAAGGTCCATTACATCTCTTGCTTCTGAGGACTTCCCATACCCACTTTGCTCATCAGCCCAATAATACGATTCACTGCAGGCAAGGTGATCTCTGGTCCCCGGTTCAATGCCACTGAAGATCAAAGGTGAATATTGTGGGCGTTTGGAAGGATTTGACTTTGTGCAGGATAAGATTTGGTGTCAAACACAGCAATCAAAACCAAGAAACACGTCAAAGAATCCAGTGGAAGATGCACTGGAAGCATAGAGAACCATTTGTTGGTGTTGGTCAGTTTGTTTGGGTTGTTGGTTCATGTTGGGGTCTGGTGTTCTGGAAAGGTACTGAGTGGTTGTATGTGATGGTAGATGTTTTGGGCTTTGGCATTGGGTTGGGTTGTGAGGGAATCTCCATTCTATTACTGTGGGGCAATTCAACAAGCTGCATCTACTTACAGACAGCTGAGAGGGCCGTGGGGAATTACAGCTCAACGGCTGCAAGCAGTTGCCCTGGTTGGTAGTGGCTTGTCCTGTAGTTGGCTGGGTACCCTAGGGGGTACAATGAGGTTGGGCAGGATTGGGTCAAGATAAAGGGCAGGGATGGGAAAAGTCCACAAACGTACAATATGGGACAATTCAGGAAAATATTAAGTCAACAAAATCCAAATAAGACTAAATCTTCATTAAACCATTTGTGCAAGAATTGTGGGCAGGATGGACTGTACTGTGTTCAGACGTTGATTAATCAAAGTACAGTAAATTTTTTCCCCTAGGTTCCGGGTGGATCCAGAATTTAATGATGCTTTGATGGAGGCATGAATGATAAAATATGGTGGTGACAGAAGAAACCATGTGTAAGAAAAGCTTTGTGAAAGAGTTCAAACATAACCTAATGAAGATGTACCTTGAAAATAATCAAACATAAACATGAATAGAGAAAGAAATGTCACATTTTCCTGTACAAACACTATTGATAACTAAACAAAAGTGACTTATAACGAAATACATCATTCTACAAACCCCAACCCTTTACACAAAAACTGGTGAAAAGTAAAACATATCTAGTTATCAGATCATCATAGTAACTTGGGGGAGAGGAGAGCTAGTTTGACACAGAACACCTCAGAAACCACTCACAGCATCCTAGCATCATAGGGACAATTACCATTCACACCATCTTCAGACAATGTAAAAAGCTAGTGACTAATGATACTACAGTATCTCAAGAACTTGTTTTGGTGGCTTTCTTTGTTGGTATCTGTCGATTTTCATCCTAAATCCTCTTGTCTTGTGTTCTTCAAATCTGACACCTACAGAACATTTCACATCTACTTCACTGAGCAAACAATCTGAAGCGAGCAGATATCTTTACTTAAACATACTCCTGCTGCCTTCAGAAAAACCTTGTTTTGTCTGATCGCAACTCGCTCTAAGAAATTATTTCACATGATTTTTCTTGAGATGGGGCTGTCTAAACAGCTTAGATGTGCAACTTCTTTAGGGCAGAGATAGACAGATGCATCAATCTCATAGAAGACTAAACAAACCTGGGCCTCAAGGAAACAGCTTTGATCTTGGGTCAACAACTGTGGATTTGGACATCAGCAAGTCGTTACAACTCGATCCTTTCATTTTCAAACACATTAGACCACCTTGATCTTTTGTCATTTTCGCTTAGTTCCTCAATTAAACCAATGTGAAGTTTAAATTGATAAATGCATTAATATAAAAGTGCGCAGTAACAAACCATTCATCCATTACTTCCCACTCCTAGTAATTTTATGCTTTTTATTTTTGACACAGTTATTCTTATATATCAGATTGTTTCTTTAGGTAGTATCTCCTTACAAATGGAAATGTTCATAAACATGAAATGTGGACAGTTCTTGAGTTTATATCTGACCTGGGTAAAAATGAGTGTCTCAGAGCTGCGGCTGTCCAGACTGAGCACGAAACGAATGGATTGGAAAAGCTCCTGGATGCTGGCCCGAAATTGGTCCTCCTCCATCCCACAGGTGGCCCGGGAGTAGAGGATCCGTGACTGGATGATGAATTTAAACAGGTACTCTAGAGCCTGGAAGATTTACATTTACTATAAAATGTCTTTAAAACACTTCAAGTACAATCAATACGGACAATCCCTGTGCTTATACCTTGAAGACAAATTAAGAAAGTTCAAAATTAAAAAAAAAAAAATCACATTTTATCACTTAACTTGGGTGCTAATGAAACTAAATACTTAAAAAAAAAAAATTTTTTTTTTTCATCATGAAATTTCATTTGTACTGAGCAGTTTTTGATTCAAAGCAATGAGTTTATGCTTAAATGGATGGCTTTGCACAGTTTGCATCAAAGTCTCCTGTCTTTCATAAGCCAATTTCAAATGCTGAGATAAAAGGTTTTACTTCTAAATACAATTAAAAGTGGAAACTTTTCTTACTTTCACTCAAGTATGTGTTTGGCTAGATACTTTTGAAATTTTTGACGCAGCACCCATACTTTAACTGAAGTATAATTTCTCTGTACTTTTAAAGTGCTTGACATTTTAATATGAGTGTACTGTCAGAACCAAAATGAATCACCATTTAAATCAGTGATAGCAATACATCTCAACAAAAACGTCTCAGCTTACGTATGTAACCATGGTTCCCTGAGAAGGGAACGAGACACTGCGTCCTCTAGAGGTCGCTATGGGGAACGCCTTCAGCGTGACCGGTGTCTGAAGCATACATCTAAAAACGACAATAACATTGGCCGGCGACAGGCTACAACATCATTACCCTGCGCTATCATAGTATAAAAGGGGACCGGGATAACACGTCATCTGCTTCTTCGTCTGCAACATGGCAAGGAAACTAGAGGACGCAGTGTCTTGTTCCCTTCTCAGGGAACCATGGTTACATACGTAACCTGAGACGTTCCGTTTCGAGGGAAATTCGAACTGCGTTCTCTAGAAGTCGCTATGGGGAATGGTATACCCACGCCACCATGCTGAAGGTACCACCAGTTCTGAATAAACCTGTTCAAAGAACTGACTCAAAAGATCTTAGGTAGCAACACCCTGCTCAGAAATGTATCAACAGAGACACGTTAGTTGAGTGGAGCCCAAGGACAGAACCAGGGCCTAAGCCAACTCAGAGAAAGGGAACGAGGCTGACAGCGCGTAACCCTTACCATGCAGGATTTTAGAAAGTATGCAGAATGCTTAGCGTGCACACTTACCACAATGTGGATTTTAGAAAGTGCACAGAGCTTAGCGTGTGCACTTACCATAGCATGGATTTAGAAACACCATTGCTTAAGGGGTAACCGAGGCTTTATTAAGCCAGCCTAGGGACTCTAAGTGACTGTGGCACGCTCACAGAACAGATTCCGAAGCATCTGCTCACAGATGCCCAGAAGTCCTCAGACACTCAATCGGGAGATGCAGGCTCAAAGACAACCCTCTGAGGTGAGGGGATCTCACCCTACTTAGAAATGTATCAACAGAGATACATTAGTTGAGTGGAGCCCAAGGCGAGAACCGGGGCCTAAGCCAACTCAGAGAAAGGGAACAAGGCTGACAGCGCATAACCCTTACCATACAGGATTTTAGAAAGTGCGCAGAGTGCTT